AGTGGGAAATAAGAAATACAGGAAATGGGGTACAGAAATCTATCCTGCCCTACAGGAAAATAGAAGGGAAGGGGGGGAGAGACAGCAGGGAAAGCAGACTGGGGAAGGGGTATTCAGAATGCATGCCATCTTGGGGTGGGGGGAGGGGCGAGATGGGGTGAAAATTTGGAACTCAAAATCTTGTGGTAATAAATGTTGAAAACTAAAAATAAAAAACAAAAGAATTTAAATAAAAAAAACAGAAAATAATACTAAATGGTTATGATGACTGCATCAGTAATTGCTATTTCATCCTTTCTTTTTTCCATTTGTTATTATTTTCTCTAGTTTTAGAAAAGTATCCCTTTGATCATTTTATTGGTATAACATTAACACTAAAAATTATCTTTGGTGGTATTGTTGTTTTCATTATACTGGCACAATCAACAAACAGCAATGAATATTTCTCCTGTTATTTAAGTTATTCTTTATTTCTTTTTTATTTCTTTTTTAAATTAATTTATTTATTTTTAGTTTTCAACAATTCACTTCCACAAGATTTTAAGTTCCAAATTTTCTCCCCATCTTATACCTCCCCCAACCCCAAGATGGCATGCATTCTGAATACCCCTTCCCCTAATCTGCCCTCCCTTTTATTTCTCCCCCACTTCTCTTATCCCCTTCCCCTTCTATTTTCCTGTAGGGTAGGATAGATTTCTATATCCCATTCCCTGTATATCTTATTTCCCAGTTGCATGTGAAAACAATTTTTTTTAACATTTGTTTTTAAAACTTTGGGTTCCAATTTTCTCCTTTCTTCCCTTCCCACCCACCCTCATTGAGAAGGCAAGCGACTCGATACATGTGTAGTCACACAAAATGCTTCCATAGTAGTCATGTTGTGAAAAATTAAGTATATTTCCATTCATCCCATCCCACCCCCCCCATTTATTCTATTCTCTCTTTTGACCTTGTCCCTCCTCAGAAGTGTTGGCTTCTGATTATCTCCTCCCCCAATCTGGCCTCCCCTCTATCATCCCCCTGCTCTCTTGTCCCCTCCCCCTCCCCATTTTCCTATGGAGTAAGATAGATTTCCATACCCAATTGAGTGTGTATATTATTCCTTCCTTGAGCCAAATCTGATGAGAATAAGATTCATTCATTTCCTCTCACCTTCCCCCGTTTCCTCTCCACTGTAAAAGCCTTTTCTTGTCTGTTTTATGTGAGATAATTTACCCCATTCTACCTCTCCCTTTCTCCTTCTCCCAGTATAATCCTCTCTTACCCCTTAATTTTATTCTCCAGATATCACCCCTTTATCTTCAAATCACCCTGTGCCCTCTATCTATCTATCTATCTATCTATATACATACATATAATTTTTTCCCCTTCAACTACCCTAAAACTGACAAAGTTCTCATGAGTCACAAATATCATCTTTCCATGCAGGAATGCAAACAATTTAACCTTATTAAGGCCCTGATGATTTCCTTTTTCTGTTTACCTTTTTATGCTTCTCTTGAGTCTTGTATTTGAAAGTCAACTTTTCTATTCAGCTCTTGTCTTTTTCAGCAAGAATGCTTGAAAGTCCTCTATTTCACTGAATGTCCATTTTTCCCTCTGAAGGATTATACTCAGGTTCGTTGGGTAGGTGATTCTTGGTTTTAATTCTATCTCCTTTGCCCTCTGGAATATTATATTCCAAGCTCTCTGGTCCCTTAATGTAGAAGGTGCTAAATCTTGTGTTATCCTGATTGCATTTCCACAATACTTGAACTGTTTCTTTCTGGTTGCTTGTAATATTTTCTCCTTGACTTGGGAACTCTGGAATTTGGCTACAATATTCCTAGGAGTTTTTCTTTGGGGATCTCTTTCAGGAGATGATTGGTGGATTCTTTCCACGTCTACTTCACCCTCTGGTTCTAGAATATCAGGGCAGTTTTCCTTGATAATTTCTTGAAAGATGACATCCAGGCTCTTTTTTTGATCATGGCTTTCAGGTAGTACAATAACTTTTAAATTATCTCTCCTGGATTTATTTTCCAGGTCAATTATTTTTCCAGTGAGATATTATCTTCTATTTTTTCAATCTTTTGGTTTTGATTGTTTCCTGATTTCTCATAAAAGTCATTAGCTTCCATTTTCTCCATTCTAATTTTTAAGGAAGTGTTTTCTTCAATGAGCTTTTGGACTTCCTTTCCATTTGGCCAGTTCTGCTTTTTAAGGCATTCTTCTCCTTACTGGCTTTTTGGCCCTCTTTTGCCATTTGGTCTAGTCTATTTTTAAGGTGTTATTTTCTTCAGTATTTTTTTGGGTCTCCTTTAGCAAGCTGTTGACTTGTTTTTCATGATTTTCTTGCATCACTCTCATTTCTCTTCCTAATTTTTCCTCTACTTCTCTTCCTTGCTTCTCAAAATTCTTTTTGAGCTTTTCCATAGCCTGGAACCAATTCATATTTTTCTTGGAAGCTTTGGATGTAGGAGATTTGACTGTGTTGCCTTCTTCTGGTTGTATGTTCTGATCTTTGTCACCAAAGTAAGATTCTACGGTCTGAGTTTTTTTGCACCAATTACATGAGTTATAAACTCTTCATTAAGATAAGGGTTTGTTTCCACTGTGGAGATTGTACTGTCCCAAGCTTCAGGGGTTTTGTGCAGCTGTTTTCAGGGACACTTCTAGGGACTTATAAATTTTCCATTCTTCCAAGGTGGTATGATCAAAGATGAGGTGTTACTCCTTTCCTGGCCTGTGCTCTGGTCTATGAGTGACCACAAGCACTCTTTTCTGGCTTGGAACTGTGAGGATTCCCTCTCCACTGCAGCCACAAGCTCCACCATGCCAGCACTCCTCCTTGCCCCAGGACTGCCACTCAGGACTGTGACCCAGATCCAAGGACAGGCAAAGCAAGAGAATCCTGCCTCAGCACCAGTGAAGAGATCCCTGCAATCCCCCTCTGATCAGCTGCTTGATTCTCCCACCATCTGTGGGCCAAGAACTCCAGAAGCCACTGCCGCACTAGGGCTGCATCAGAACTGGGGCTGGACCGTGCTCCTCTCTCACCCAGGTCCGACAGACCTTTCCTACTGACCTTCTAAGTTGTCTTAGGCATTTGTGACTTGAGAAGTCTGGAAACCACCACAGCTGCCCGTGATTTAGTCCCCTGAGGCTTGCTCCAGGTTCACTGAGGCTGTTTTTGCCTGCGTGGCCCTCGCTGAACTGTACTCCTCTTCCAGCCTGGCTCAACAGACATTTCCTATCAACTATCCAGGTTGTCTTAGGCTGGAAATTTGTTTCACTCTGTCTTTTTGTGGGTTCTGCTGCTCTAGAATTTGTTTAGAGCCATTTTTTACAGGTATTTGGAGGGGTTTGGGGGAGAGCTCAAGCAAGTCACTGCTTTTACTCCAGCACCTTGGCTCCGCTCCCCCTTCTTAGGTTTAGTTTTATAAAATGTTTCATTCTTAATTTCAAATTTGATTCCTACATGGGCAACATATAAAAACTGAAAATTTCTCATTAGATCCAAACTACCAGCAATGAATATGTGTAACTGATTAACAGGAAAATACAGTGCTAAGGTTTTTTCAGAAAAGTTTTGATCTGATTTGATAAGCAGAGGTGCTGATGGATGACCTTACCTCCTACTTTACTGAGGACACTGAGACCATCTATTACAATCACCTTTTTTCATATCCTCTACACCTAAAAACCTCTCTAAGTTTTTTATTCACTCTCTCCATTTTTGATTATCTTACTTGATGAAATGATATTTCTCCTTGTGAAAACTAACCCTTCCATTTGTGTCCTTAATCCATTTCCTTCCCATCTCATTCTGAGAAATCCACACTTGTACAAATGAAATTATTGTCTCCAAGGTCACCAATGACCTTTTCTCAGTTATCAGTCTTCTTGATCTCTACATCATCTAATAATTGTTGACCACCCGCTTTCTCTTGACTCTCTCTTTTCTCTTTGCTTCCATGGTATGACTCTTTTCTGCTTATCCTACTTGTCTGAACATTCTTCTCTCCTCACCATTTTCTTGTTTCACCATTTTCTCTCTAGACTGTCCTGAGCCCTCGTTTCTCTCTTATTTTATCCTTTGATGGCTTTACCTATTCCCTAGCCTTAATTAGCAGTTCTGGAGAGGATTCCCAACTCTACCTACTCAACCTCAATATCTTTCCTGAATGCCAGTCTCAAATCTCTGTGTGCATAGCCCCAAGGGGACTTTAACTCAACATGACCAAAACATTTACTTGCTGTTGCGAGTTTTGTCATTCTTCTAGCCATACATGCAGGAAATTTTAGACTTTTTTTTTTGACTCAGTCTATCTCACTGTACTCAAAGATGCAATCTGTTATCAAGTCCTCTACCTCCACAATACCTCTTGCATCTGGCCCCTCTTCTCAACTCATACTGCTATTACCCCAATTAATGTTTTTATCACGTCTCTCATGAACTATTTTGCAAAGCTACACAGCAGTCTCTCCTCTATTAAAATGAACAATTCTTCTTACTACAGTGTTATCCTATTTAGCAAACTAAAGACAGTTTCTCCAAGGTGATGTGTTAAGAAAGGTTCATTTCATTCTCTGATAAGGTCCTCATCTCCTCTGTCCTGGATTATTTTTTAATAGCCTCTTTTCTGTTCTCCTTGACTACAGTTTCACCCCATTCCCTTTGTAAAGATGAGAAAAATAATCTTACTAATATTCATGTATGAATTATAACTCTACTGTTCAAAAGTCTTCAGTTGCTCCCTGTTGCCTAAAAGATAAACTACAAACTCCTTAGGTTGGTATAGAAGACCCTCCACAATCTGGTTCCAAAGTGTGTTTCATTCTGCCTTATTTCATTCCGCTCCCTGGACATTGTGAATTCTTTAATCAAATTTTATTGTTAAGAACTACCTACATCTAAAGGAAAATTTGGCTCCTGATTAATGTAAGTAATTTATAAAAAAGTTGTGTGGTTAAAAAAATATTATTTGAATTCCCAACTAATTTTTATTTATTTTTACCTTTCATCAAGATAGATTCTCAGCTTCTTCCAATTTAGTGTTCTTGTACAAAAGATAAACTTTGCTATTTCCTTTGGTGAATCATCCAGGATGCCCTTGGACATAAAGTAGTTCACTCCCTAAGGCAGAAATAGACATGGCTAGATGAATAAAACTGTCCTTTAAAATTTATATTTATAGACAATTACTGTTTTAGCAGACCAATAACTATAAGCTTTTTAGCTTTAATAGGCTTTATTTTGCTACTAATTCAAATTGTATTTAAACATGCAAAACACAAGCTAAAACTTAGTAGACTGTTACTGTAATTTATAGTTGATATTTACATGCAATGAAAGGTAGGAAATTCAAAGTTTTGGATAGTATAGCAATCTTCTTATGCTTATTTAAATACAATGTCTGCAGAGGCAACCACTGCTAAGCTTCCATCTATATAATTTGTTTATATAATGAAGGAAAAATGAAACTCATATAAAAAGACTAACATTATTCTACCTACTTGAACATATTCCCCATACCAATCCTTTTTCTCCCCAAATAGAAACCACTGTACCTGAAGACCAGCTATAAGCACTAATAGACCTTTAAAGGAAAGAGCTTCTACATTTTTTTTTCTAACTATATTGAACTGTAGTTTGGAAATGGAAATGCCTGGCTATTCTTGCCTACAGATTTGAAGCAGTGCTAGGCCAGGTGGTATGCTAGTTTTGAATAATGCTAAATATTGTGAGCACCCAGCTAGAAATATAGATACCTATTAAGGCAAATGATTTCATTGTTTTCATGGCATTTATCTTTGAATTTCCTGACCTCCGCATGCAAAACTTTCAAGAGAAGCATTACCATAGTTTTTATGACTAGATTATTTTTAAAACAACAACAACAACAACAACAATAAACAAACACTGAAATCAATGTTCTTACATAGATATGGAAGTCACATTCAAATATATGTCTTTTATGGATTTGAATGTGTAGTCATTCAAATAAAAGGCAGATATATTTATTTCAACATGCAGATATCCAGCATACATGCATGCCCATGAATGCTTATGTCTGGATAATAGTAGCCTGTATGTATTTAATTGGTATAAAAATGATTCATTTTGCATGCATGATATGCTGTTTCCACATATACATTTCTTATTTCTTCAGCATTTCTCTGGGTTAAGAAGCATTTATGTAGTATTTCAGGGTGCTGTGCACATTTAACTAATTATTCATGTCTAGAAAGTTTTTCATAAAAAATAAGATCCTTCTCCCAAATATTTTTATACTGAATTTTAAAAAGTAATTTTGATAGTAATAGGAAATATTGTGAATATCTGTAAACTAGAATTTAAAGATGAGATATTCTAATATATGTAATTATGTACTTTCTTATTTATACTTTATTTATAATTTCTCAAAACCAGTAAAATAGAAATGCTAAATCATTAGAGAAAAATGGAGTAAAGGAAGGGATAAGAAGCACCTGGTACAATATAGCCTAACTCCTGGGGGTCTCAAGGATGCTTCCATGTTAAGCTGTATTTCAGAATAAATGTTGAATATAGGTATAGAATGTAAGAAGGCCTAGACAATAGGTAAAATGACTGGCCTAGAATGAAATTAGCAGCAGTTATTTCAGGCATACATAGTAGAATCTTGAATTAGTTATTGGTTGCTTATTTCCATCCTCCCCTCCATTAGCAAAAATAATAAGAGAGTTGACTGTATACAGAAAAGGCTTCTTGGTTTATTTCACAATTCTATAGTTAAATGCATACGTCAGAAACTTCCTAAACCCCAATTAATCCAAATGACTGAATTTCCTAGAAAATTTTAGATGCACAGCTATATGGAAAAAGTACTATTTAAATGACTGCTCATACAGAACTAACTGTAAAAGTACATGATGCTATTTTTAAAAAATTACTATCATCGTGAAATTTTACTAAATGTTTAAACAAAAATACTTAGTGATCATTTAAATTCCCTAATATAAGCATTACAGCATTATTTAATGTTCTCTAATGCAAAGGATGAACAAAAACAACAATGCTTCTAATTTATTTTCACATTGATAAGTGCCCAATAATGTTCCATGTGTAGCATCAAGTAAGCCTGGCACTGGTTTAATCTCTTGTTCACAGAATTTACAAAAGATAATTCTGATAGTAAGTTTCAACACTTCAACAACTGACATTCATTTCAATTAGAATGTTTATTAGGGCCTACTATGTTCTGGAGGAGTTAAGTAATTTAAATAAGGAGGGACGAGGATAGGCAATTATATAGCATCTACTATGTGCCGGGCATAAACATTTTACAAAATATTATCTCATTTGATCCTCAATAATCCTGTAAGGTAGGTATTGTTTTTATCCCCATTTTACAATTGAAGAAATTGAGGCAGAGGTAAAATGACTTGTCCAGGGTCACACATGGCTAATAAGTGTTTGAGGCTGCATTTGAACTAAGTCTTTCTGAGTTCTATGTACTGTACCACCTAACTGCCTCTAAATAAAACATGGTTTTTGTCTTCATGGAACTTACAGTCAATCTAGTGGGGAATGCAACACAAATAACCACAGTCTGAGCAGGGAAATTTCATTATGGACTGGAGAAATCAAGGAAAGTTTCACAAAGGGTTGGTATTTGAACTGGGATTTTACAGAATGTGAAGTTGTCAACAGGTGGAGGGTTAGGAATACAAGTAATAGCAAAACCAAAGTTATGCAAGTAGAAAAAGCACATGGAACATAGAAGGGATAATGCATAATTCTGTTTGGTTAGGCTATATGATACCTGAAGAACAGTTTAAGACAAAGATGGAAATGTAGGCTAATACTGTATTTTTGAAGGCCTTGGATGTCAAGGAGCATGAACTTTGATAAATGATACACACTCACTGAATGGTTTTCAGCAGAAGTGACATGTTCAGATTTATACATAAAAAAAAGTAATCTGGCAAAAGCATAAAGGACAGAAGTGGTTTAGGGGTATTAAGAAAAAGAGAACAGAGATTAGAAAGCCACAGTAATGGTTCAAGTAGGTAGTAATGAATGCACTGGTTGGTGGCAGTAGGAAAAAAAGAGGTAAGGATGAATCTGATATTAAAGAAAGAGAATGGAGAAGATATGGGAACCATAAGTTAGGGGAAATGAAGGAAAGGGAAGAGACAAGGATAATACCAATGCTTCCAAGGCATCAGACAGCTTGGTTACAGTGACATAAATGGGAAGAACAGGTTGTGAGGGATATTTCTTTAAGATTTGCAAAGTGCTTCTTTACATATACTGGTTCATTAGAGGTCTATGACAACCCAAAATAAAGCAGCTGGTTTGAGACAAGCTTAGCTATCTGGTGTAACATATAAAAAGAAATGTCCTATAGGCCCCAGGAGGTGCTGATACGTAGATATATAGATTTAGGAGTTACCTGCATAGTGATGAGGGTTGAAACTATGGAATGAAATAAGATTGTCAAGGGGGAGAGTATATAAAGAGAAGAGAAATAAAATAGAACCTTAGGGAACATCTTTTAAAGGGGCACTTGAAAAGGTGACAAAAGTGGACTGGGTTAGAGAAGGAAGAAGAACACCAGAATATCTCAGAAGTCAAGAGAAGGGAGTATATCTAGATGGACGAAATTATTAACAATGTAAAATACTGAAGAAAGCTCAAGAATGTTAAAAACTAAGAAAAAATTATTGTGTTTAACAATAAAAATTTCCAGATTTTAATCCTACTAAGTGTATAGGAAAGTGGCAAGTAAATCAGTTTTAGGCCCAATGTAGAACCAGGAGTTGTGCTTGAAATTAAGTTGTATGATGGGGGCAGTGAAGGGCAATCAATAAATGAGGATTAAGTACCTATTACATGATACCAACTAGTACACTCATTACTACTCCCTTGAACTACTACTATGGCTTCCTAATCTCCACTCTCTTTACCTTAATACCCCCAAACCACTTCTGTCCTTTATGCTTTTGCACTGTGTAAGGAATTGGATATACAAATACAAAAGTGAGAAAGAAATAGACAAGAAACTTACATTCGTTTGCAGGGAATGCAGCCTGTTCACAGATTAATAAATAAAGGATATGAGGCTAGGCACTGGACCTGTTATTTCATGGGCACAGGGAACTCCTGAGTGAGAAAACTCAGTCAATCAATAAACATTTATTAAAAGCTTTTTATGTGCCAGGCTGGGGATACAAAAAGAGGCAAAAGACAGTTCTCCTGCCTTCAAGGAACTCACAATCTAATAGGGAAGAAAACAAGCAAACAAATATGTATAAACAAGCTATATAAAAGAAAAATAGGAAATCATTAAAAGGTGGGGATTTTAGTTGAGACTTGCAGGAAGCTAGGAAAACCAGTAGGTGGAGATGAAGAGGTAGAGCATTCCAGGCACAGGGTAAGGGGTGGGGTGGGTGGGGGACAGCCAAAGAGAATCCTCAGGGCCAAAGGATGAAGCGTCTTGTTCATGAAATAGCAAAGAGGCCAGTGTTGCTGGATCAGTGAGCACTGTGGCAAAGAATAAGGCATAAGAAGACTGGAAAGGTAGTGGAATGCTAGGTTATAAAAGGCTTTGATTGCCAAATAGATAGCTTTCATTTATCTTTATGACTTCTATTATTAAATACAGTGGCCTTTTCTTGGTCTTTATTTTGTATTTGATCTTGGAGGCAAGAGGGAGCCATTGGAGTTTATTAAGTAGAGGGATGAGACACAGTCAGACGTGTGCTTTAGGAAAACTGCTGTTTGTCCTTTGTTCTAAAAGAGGATTAATAACATCATGAGGGTGATGTCTTGACTTACATGTGAAATGGATTTAAGTGAGGCTGAGCTGAGCAAAGTTGGTACAGCCTCATTCTCTCTTCCAGAGTCACTGAAGTCCAGTGGCAAAACTTACAAGTCAAAATGATTGGTGATGGCCTGGGATGCAGTGGATGACCTTAGCCTTACTAAATTAACGTTTTTCCCAGGTTTCAGTCTGTCTGAGGCAACAAACTTTCAATGACTAGGGGCTAGGTAAATGCTTCATTATTTTCAGGGTAAGGAAAACATCAGGATTAGATGCTGGTCTGGGATGCCTAGGAAGGAAACCTGTAGCAAACAGAACTTCATAC